CCCCCACACACACACACCCACACACACACACACACACACACACACACACACCCCTCCTGCCCTCAGATGCATCCCTGTTTCTTCAGCAAATGATAGATGCATCCCCACTTCCTCTCCTTCTAGGATTTCTATTGGTGAACACATGGTCCTCTGCCCAGCATTTGTGAACACATGGCCCTCTGCCTCTCCCAATCTTACTCCCTTCAAACTCACACACGTGATGTCCTTCCTTCCCCAGCTCCCACACCTCTTTTCAAGCACAAACACAAAAACAGCCTTTCTTCCAAATCATAAAATGGGTCATAAGTCATGGACAGATTTAAAAAATACTTGTAAGTCCTAAGCTCCCTTATGACCAGGCTGGAGCATCCCTGGTGAAAGCCCAGCCTTTCTGAGATGTTAGCATGGTATGTTTTCAGACCCGCCCCAGCACAGAGTTACAAGCCTGCCCATAGCAGCTGCCAGAGTCCAGGGTTTGGAAAAAATGGAGTAATTCATTTTATAAAAGCACGCCAGAGCATCCCAAAGAGACTTCGCTCCCAGAAGCTGATGTGGCAGTACAGCAGGAGTTGACCAGGCTCTGTCAGCTTAAAACAGGCTGCTTCTCTCAGTATGTGGAGCCAAGTGGGATGGAGCGGCTGCCCTAGCTTTGCTTCACTTGGCTTAGGGACCCTCCTCACTGAGTTGGTAAGGGATTTAGGATCTGCTCAACAGTCCTCCCCCTTTCTGGAACTTCACCCCATGGTTTAGAAAGCCAAAGCCCTCCTAGTGATACCACCTGCACAGCCAGGCATACATCTCCAGGAAGTGTTTTTCGCTGCCTGGACCTTTACCTCCTGCTCCTCCTCATTTTATTCTCAAACACCTAAGGCTCTTGTGTCATAGCACTGTGACTGTTCCTTCAATTGCTGGTGGCAGGGCTGCAGTTACATCAGCATTGTTCCACATTGGAGAAAGAAACTTTGGGAATTAGCACACACTTCTCCTGGTTCTTGGCTTCCATCAGCCCCTTTAGACACTAGGATCCTCCAATGCACAGGGGACAAAACATGCACAAGGCAGAGAAAGCATCCTCGATGGACTGTGCCAAACATAAGCACATTATTGATGAATTTATGGAGGCTACTGCTGGCTCAACCAAATCACCATGTTAATGCAATGTGAAGGTGGAGACAGGGTAAACTCGAGTTATAGATGGAAAAGACCCAGCAGTTCATTATCATCCTTGATGTGTCCCATAGCAGCATAGTTATACCTAGAGTTATAGACTATGAGATTGGAAGGGACCTCAGGAAGTAATTTAGTCCAACCTCCTGCTCAAGGCAGGAGCACCCTGGCTAAACCATCCTAACCAAGT